GCAGCTCAAACTGAAGAAGCCGCTTCCGTAACAGTCTTAGAAAACAGTAAAAGCGATATTTTTAGAATTCCAAAATTCTGTGGACGTTTTCGTAAAATGCAAGAACAGCAGCAAGAGGAGCAGCAGCAGCAGCAACAGCCGAATGCTGTAAACTCTCTGCACAGCAGCCGCATAACAACAGTACCAGCAACAGCAACAACAACAGCAACACCAGCTGCATTAACAGCCCAACAACAGCGCAAACTCAGCTCCATGGAGCCATCGATGGATGATGCTCTGGCAATTGGCACTCAAATGACACGCAAATTCGCTGAACGTTGCCATTGCCTGATCGCCCAGCTGCATGGCACCCGCCTGTACACGTGAGTCTCATTTAAATCTGTCTTATGCTCATTTCATCATGTGACAAAATATAAATATGTACATATGTATGTATGTATGTATACTGAAGAGATACAGACGACAAATGGGCTCCTTATCAATGACATTATCACGGCGCTCGATCATGTCAATCACGCCAATGAAGATTACGCCCATTCGACTATTTCACACACACACACACACACACGCACACACACAGGCCTCTTTTGCTGTACTTTGTCGCCGTTCTCGGGTGTTTTCAGTTTCATTTCGCGTTTACATTTTTTCCACTGTCTGCTGTCGTCTATTATGCAAACAGTCAATGGGCGTGACAACAGGAGCGAAGGGCACTGCATAAGAGCCACTAGAAATTAGCTTGTAGCTTTTTAAAAGCTCACACTGTGCGCAGCACGTGCTTGGATCGTTGGCCAGAAAGCTTATTTATAGGTTAACAGTGGGAGGGGGCGATTGGGGCACTTGGGCACGTCATGTGTTATCATAATTTCTGATGAAATCTTTATCACGGCGCATGAAAACTGCTTTAAAATTAACAGCTTTTTGTTTATTTATTTCTTGCTTTTTAAATGAAACGTTAGCACAGTCTCAGAATGCTACGCAGCTTTGCCAAATGATTCATCCTGCGTGTAACGCCCCCTGATACACATGTATGTATGCATATACACATACATATGTACATACATATATAGATGCACATGCAGATACAGGTAGCCAAGAAAGCTGACGATATTTTCTTATCACACTTGATTTATCAATAATAACCAAGGCCTTGACCATAACTGTGACTCAATGATAAATTCTGTGGGTGACCCATTCGCAGGGGACTATTATGCCGTTATCGTGAAAAAAAAAAAAAGCCGAATGACGTCGTATCTCTGCCAAGTCAACAGAATTCCAGCCCACAGGGTGCAAAGTGCGAGCCGTTATGTCAACGTCACAGGCGACGTCGACGTCGACGTCGACGCTACAGTCAGTGCCTGGCGGTTGGCAACGTTGGCGACACTGTTCATTTACTGAGTCAGCCTCTCTGGGTTTGACGGGCTTATCGTAAACGACGGCATCGCATTGTCAGCTTGGAGAGCAGCTGTTCAATTGAACAGCTGATTTACGATTTCGCTCTCAGCTTCGATTGAACCTGTGCGCAGCAGCAATGTGCCGCCAAGCAGCGACAAGTGTTAAATTATCTGGCCGAGCTGCTCCCACAGTCGTTTAACATATGCAAGTGCAAGTTGCACACACACGCACGTATCTACGTATGCGCGTGTGTTTGTAGTTTGCAAATTTGTTGTATTAAATTTAGTGACCATTGTCGCTCCAATTATTGTTGTGCAAATGGCAAAATACGAAAATATACATATATATGTATATATACAATATTTGGTTGCATGCTTTTTTGCACGTACGCCACTTTCGACTCTATTCGCCGCAATGTCTACCGATCGTCAAAGCAGCACCAGAAGCAGCGACGTCGTTAAACCTCACATACATACATACATACATACTACATATGATCTATGCCAATGCGACAAACCAAATCACAAAGCGTATGCAAAAAAAAAAAAAAAAAAACTCGTAAAACAGACGAAACGCAACAGCAGCGCAGCGCAGCCCAGCAGACGCAACGCAACGCAGCAAATGCGTAAGCAGCAAGCGCAAGTACAATGTTCGAGCGACGCGTCGAACGTCGCGCCTCTCAGTGCAAACCACTCGATGTTAGATAAGCGCTCATTATTGCTGCTTCTGCTGCTACTGCTGGTGCTGCTGTTGCTGCTGTTGCTATTGCTGTCGTCTACGCTGCCTATCTAAGGGGGCAGCGTGAGGGCCGTGCTATTATAAATATTGGCAAGTGCAAAAGTTCGAAGCAAATCTAATCGCGTCTAAAAAAAAAACACAGGGAAGTGGGGCGGCACGTGTAGGCGTTAATATATGCATTTGTATTACAAAATTCAAAGATTCAATGCAAAGAGTAAATATCTATGACTTTAACATTATAAAATGCACACCCTAACATTCAGCTTAACATTACAGCAAAATCCTAGTTAACAGCTTTCTAACTCTGTTTCCTCGCTCTCTCTCTCTATGTCTATTTTACAGTATCCTGACGCGTACCACGCAGCCAGCGCATTTGATGGCCATTTTAATATTATCCTTTGTGCTACTGACCGTTGGACCCGATCTCAGAACGACCACAACAACGACAATGCACAGCAGCCAGTTGGCAACAGCAGCGATACATACAACAACAACAACAACAACGACGCAGGCTGCCGCCGCTGCTGCTGCCGCCCCAATGGTTGGCAGCACACTGGCAACGCTGGCATATCTGGGCGCATTCGCCACACACTTTGGCTCACAAATCTGGATGACCTTTGTCTCGGGTAAGTTTGCAATGCATATTCAGCGTCGCTGCCGCTGCCGCTGCTGCTGCTGCTGCTGCTGCTGTTGCTGCTGCTGCTACTGCTGCAACATCTTCATCCATCATCAAATGTGTCCATGTCAATGTCAAACTGAATGTTAACCACCAAATCGTAGGCATTATCCATAAAGCCCGCTCACACACGCACACCCTTCGTTACTTATCTTTCTTCTTCTTTGCATCATGTCTATTGCAGGCCTTTCGCTGTATTTCTCGCTGCCGCGTCACACCTTCGGCCAATGCCAGCAGATTCTGTTCCCCAAGTACTTTGCGCTAAACGCCATGCTGAGCATCAGCATGCTGATCATCTATGTGAAATACTTTCTGAGCGGGTGGACAACGGCGGCGGGTGTACAAATGGGCACACTGGCACTGACCGCTGCCATCGAGGTGGTGGTGCGTCTATATCTGGCACCGCCCATGCTGCGACTGATGCACGAGAAGTATAGGATCGAGGGCGCCATCGGCAGTGGCCAGGAGGTGGGCAGTCTGGTCCAGGGTGATCTGGTCGAGTGTCCGCACTATCAGCGCATACATAAGGCATTCCGGCGCATACACATGACCATTGCCATTGGCAATATGATTGTGCTGATGGCCACATGTCTGCAGTTGTATTTTCTGGCATTGAAAATACGAATTAGCTAAGACGCGAACCACGGGGAGGCCCAGCCAAAAGCCGCAGCCGCAGCAGCAGCGCTCAAATTTTCGGGCAGCGCCTGAAAGGCTGCCACGGTTTTTTGTTTTCTCCCATATGCAAAAAGAATTTATAAATTTAACATTTGTAGCGCAATTAAGTCACCATGACATCACACACACACACACACACACACACACACACACACACACACACACACACACACGCACACACACGCACATGCACACATATAAAAGTTGATATTGTATTTTACTGTCAACGATTGTCTCAAATTAAATTATTAACTATATACGCGTAGTTTATTAGACAATGTATTTATAATAACCACCAGCACATCAATAACAATTATCCCATGCATATAACAACAATAAACTAGCTAAACGAAATGTCGAGCTCGGAAATAGCATTAAATCGTTTGTGCAACATTTTCAAATTGTTTTGAAAAACCTGTGATAAGACTCACCCCGCCTATAATTCAAGACCCCAGCCCATTTCCCACTCACAACACACACACACACCCGCACACACACACACACACACACACGCACACACACACACACACACACACACACTTGAACGCACACACATTTTGTAGTTTAGCCGCGTAGCCAATAATTTACACACAATTGTTAATTAATAGCATTTAGTAATGAAACATTTTTTTTTTGCAACCCAATTTTTTTTTTTCTAATCATAAATTATCGAAATTATTTATTTGTTAAGGTTATGTGCATTTGTTTACGCAACTGAAACTGAGAATATAAAACAATTCAAAGCAAACAACAAATATGAAATAAAACAAAAAAATGAAAATAAAAAAAAAAACAAAACAATAATAAATACAATGTATTATTACAAAAAAAAAAACAAAACACTTCTTTTAATTTAAGCAAAAAAAAAAATTTGATTTTAGAGCACATTCAACATTTGCTTAAATCGGTTGCGAATTAGAACACAGAATTTGAGCAACTGGATCGTTACCCTGTAAATATATCACACTATGAACGAAAATGAATATCACGCTTGGCTTCGACCACGCCCACATTCGTCACCCACATATGTTAACAATTCAATTAGCCTAGGCGCACAGTTTGAAAGTCACTGCTGTGTAATCACAGTCTTAGAGTCACAACGAGCTCTATAAATAAGATAAAACTCTCTTCGACCGATCTAATCGATAATTGCACTGTGCGAAGAGTATGGCACAGTCGGTTACTCCCAACTCAAATGTTCTGACACTATATCAAACCAAAATTGATATCTAACGAATCAAACAAATCCGAATGAATCACAGAAGAAATCACCGCATATATGCCGGGGATATATATATAGTTTAATACTCGATTATCTGCAGGTCGTTGAATAATTTTTTATAAATATTTTTTTGAAACTTGTCAAACATAATACCATTTGGCTGTGACTTCTGTTGCACGAGACTTTCGATTATCAGCAATGATAATCACAGATAATCGAGATTCAACTGTATATGGTATCGATAATTCGATTATTAATTTTCCAGTGTTGGTAAGCAGTATGTAAGTGTTCACTTACCGCTTCAATTTCCTGATCGAAACGCACTGGACGCAGCCGACAGAGCACCACAATGAGATAGATAAAGTTGATGCCAATGCCAAGCCCGGACCAGAGCACCACATCCGGTGTGCACTCAATCAGGTAACCGTACATGCCCATCATGATGCACCCAATGAGCAGGGTGGCGCGCATCCAAAGCGAACCAAATGGACCGTGCGGCGCCAAAAAGGCCAGAAAAAGAAAGGCCCAGCCCAGCTGAAAGTACAGATGATGCGGCTGCTGCCAAATGAGGCACTGTTCAATCGACCAATCTCCTGGATTAATGGAGCGCAGGGTGCCATTGTTATCCCAGGTGATGGTGCCACTGGCGGCACTGGTGCCCGCCGTGCTCTGGGCTATCAATGTGCCAGCGCTGGCTGCAGCCACAGCGCTGCTGCCAGCACTCGCTGCACCGCTGCCGCCGCCGCCCACGCCAATTCCCATGCTGGCGCTGCTCCCGGCACTGTTGATCAGTGCGCCAACTCCGACGCCGGCCGCACTGCCTGCCGTGCTGGGCATGCCGTTAATCCTTGTTCTCTCGCTCTCGCTCTCGCTCTCGCTTTTCTTCTCGCTCTCGCTCTTGTACTCGTTCTCGTTCTTGTTTCGTATTCGTGCTCGTTGTTCTCTTTGCCCACTCGTTGCTCAGTCTACTCGCTCTCGGCGTTTTGTATTGTTTGTTTGGTTCAGCAATTTGTTGTACAGTTGGTTGTTGTCTCCGCTAATGCGTATGTTGTCTTCACGATGAGCTCTCGCTGCTTTCTGCTACTGCTGTCCGCTACTGCTACTGCTGCTACTGCTGCTGCTGTCGGCTTCTTCCGGTTTGGGTCACATCGTTGCATATTTCACCCAAGGCACTTTAGCTGCAATTAAAGTGCACAAAAAGCCATCGAAAGGCCATAATTAAAAATCGATTGAAATCAATTAAGCTCGTTAAACGTTAATCCTAAATGTTGGGAGAAAACTCAGCTGACAGCAATTGAACAGCGCCCATTAGAACAAACAGCTGCATTTCTGTCTTCTGTCTTCTAATTAATTGAAATTCACTAACGAAATGCTCAAAGTGTACATAACTTTTTCGTATGACACATTCGTTCACCTTGAATTAATGACAAAATATTAACATACTAGCACGCCTTCATGCCCTCCCAGAGAGTTTTCATACTCTATACAAGCCATATGAAAAACTACAAACATTTTCCATACTCTGAACTCCATTTAAATGGGTTATAAGAAAACCAAATCTAATTTTCGAAACTACAATAATCAAAAACAGAAACCCATTTCTATTAATATCTCCAACAATTTCCATAATATCGATAAATATCGCTATCGATATCTCGAAGATTATAGGAGCTACAGACGCCAAACTTGGTATTTGGGTTCTCTTAAAGAATACACAGATTGAAATATTTAACTTTTTGGATCCATTCCATTAATCTTGTTATTTCAACAGTTTTTAATTATCAACATCTACCATTTGGTTGTTGCACAGAATTGTTAATTATAATATAATTCATTTAATTTGAGAAGCTTAAGGATTATGACATTATATAAACTTAAACCCAAGTCACTTTATCAACTGTTCAAGAATTTGACCCAATAATTTATTTGATAAGAGAACTGAGCCGGCAAAACTTGAAAAGATAAGTTTATCGGTGACACTGAAAATAGACATTTATTTATATTCTTTACTAATACATATACTCTATGATAGGAGCCATATATATAGTCAACTCAGAAACTTATCGGTCAAATTTCTTCATTTGCGTTTCAATATGTGCGCATGCTGAGATTGTCAAATTGATTTTAAAACAAGTAAACGGTTCTAGTCGGGAGCTTCTTCCAACATCAAATGCATATATATACAATCAATTTTAGAAGCTATATGTCAAGTTTGGTGACTCTAGCTCTTATTATTTACCAAAATTGCCCAAAAAACTGGATATCGATATCGATTCTTATCGATTGCTTGGAAACGGAGTAAGTTATCGATAATCGGAAACAAGCTCGATCTGCGCGGGCACTAGGAGCACCTACAGCTAAAATCATCAAGTCTCTAGCTCTTCGTGCATACGGACGGACGGACAGACGGACATGGCTAGATCGACTCGGCTGATCAAGAATATATATACTTTATGGGGTCGGAGATGCTTCCTTCTGCCTGTTAGATACATTTGGATTTAGCACAAATACAATATACCCTTATACCCATTTTTAATGGGTTCAGGGTAAAAAAACCAGAGTCACCTAATTTGACACATAGCTTCTAAAATAGAATATATATATATGCATTTGATGTTGGAAGAAGCGGGTTCAGGGTATCCCCTAGTCGGGAGCCATCGACTAGAACCTCTTACTTGTTTTTTAGTTTGCGTGTGTTTCTTTTTAACTTTATAATTTGTTACACTTGCTTGTAATTGATTTGTTTCTGCAGAGCAGAAATTTTGCACAGATGGTTCCTTAGCGCTCGCATTTGAAAAGCTAACGAACAGCAGTTTTTTTTAGAAAGGTCGAAAAGCTGCTTTAATGGCTTAACATCTTAACGGCCATAAATCATTTATGATGCGCTGTCTGGAGTGTATCTGTGTGAATCGCATTTGATGAAATTACGTCACGCAGTGCCAAACTGGTTGCCAACAGCTCATGCAAGACCCAGCTCTGGGCGACCATCTTCTGCGCCAATTGAACGTGATCGGAAACATAGTCAAATGAATTGTGGAAACTCTCTCATCTGGCCCACTAATAAGCTACTTAGTTGGCAGCACCCCTAGAGGCAGCCAAAAAACAAACAGGTTGTGCGTTTGACCCAAAAGAGAAAAAAAAAAACAAATATAAAATAGGGTCAATCCATAAATGAGGAAGAAGATAGCAGCTGCAGGGGCGTCCATAAGAGTTGGCCAAAAAGCCAAATAAACATTTCCGGCATTAACATACAACCCACTGGCTGAAACGCAATGGCCATAAAAGACACCAGTGAAAGCCAATAGACAGAGAGCGAGATAGAGAAAGGAGAGAGAGAGAGCGTGAGAGAGAGAGGCGGTCGGTCGTGTTTGAGGAAGCTTCGAATAATCAATTTATGACAAAGTTCGTGGCCATATTCCGGCCTTTATTAAAAGCGGTCAGACCGAAGGCGCACCACAAAGAACAACAACAACAACAAAGAACAACAACAACAAAGAACAACAACAACAAAGAACAACAACAATTGTTGATTACTCAACACTTTGCATATTGTGGTTGTCGTTGTTGCGGTTGGCCTGGTTGATTGAACCTAGCACCAAGTGACACAGATGACAAAAGCCAAAGCCAACACCAACGCTTCCTGCGGCATGGGGGTGTGCAGCACACACACACACACACACACACACAGATATATATATATATGTTGTATATGCACATGTATGTGGACTGAAAACAAGAAAATGGTCAAAGCAGATGAAGTCATCGCATTTGGTTGCCTTGAAAAGCAAGCAACAATCATTTTGCGATGGCTCAGTTCCCACTTCGTGGGTTGGTTGTCTGGCCAAAATACACACACACACACACACACACGCACACACACACATACACCGATAAGTGTGTACATAATTGTTCATTTGTCTTATACAAAGCAGGTTAAATGGCTGCCAACAATCAAACATCGAACCAAGACGCGCTTCATAATCACAACTCTAACTCAAAAACAAGCAAGAATGTTCTAGTTGAAAGTCACCGACAGGGAGATACCCTGTACCCAATGCCAAGCTGTCTTTATAAGTGATACTTCCTTCTACGTTCCTTCTTCTTTTTTCTGTCCGGCGTCGTTTTTAGTCGCATTCTTATGAGGGGCTTAAATATGCCATACAAGAGGGTCCCAGGTATAAAAGCGTATCCGCAATTCGTTCATCCACGAAATATTTCAAATTTTAGTTAAGGCAAATAACATCGTTAAAATATAAAAAATTGTAAGGCTAGCAAATCAAACCTGATAAAATGGCCAACACGCTACGGAAAAAGACAAACCGATAAATTCAGTAATTTATCGATCAGATGAAACAAAGTTATTAAAAGCAAGAATTTATTAAATTTATTTAATTTAAGTGCAATTTGGCTGGTGATCAAATTTCAAGTTAACCAAAAACCGATTTCGATAACAATTTGTATCGATTTTACATAAACAGAGCAACTTATCGATAATCGGACATTTTATCGGGCTGTGCGGGCACTAGAAAAAGCTAGTCTCTAGCTCGTTTAATGTTTAATAAAAAACTTGTCAACTAAACTTACTTTAAGACAAACGATTTTCGATTGTTTCGTTCCAAGCTGTGTATGTCATCGGTCTGATGCGGAAGTAGTTCCAATTTTCAACTCATGATATAAACCAGTTACGAATCATACGAACTTTCCAAGTCCCGACGAATAGATCTAGATTAAGTTTAAGCCTTTACACTGCCTGAGAATCTACACGTCCGGGATGGAAATTCCACGCGCAACTGTGGAAAATTGGCGGAAAAAGGTTGCATGCAAGTTTTTTTTGCTAACAACTGCCTCACACAAAATCTGCCTGTTTGGCTAAGGTTTATATTTCGACTTGAAGTTTCACACAAATGAGAAGAACACGTTAATTCAAATTTTTGATTCTTCACTCAATAGACTCATCCATGTGAAATACACTTTGGAACGCACAGTTCCAGATAGTACGGGCACATTAAAGTTTTCCAAATTGTATGTCCACAAATTGAAAGTAAAAAATCATTAAAGGGCAAGGCCGGGAAATATGTCTGGCATATTTTTATATGTGCACGTAAAAATGAAGCAAGGAGGTCATTTATATTCCATAAACGTTTAATTATATGGATATTTGAAAGCCGCCGCTGGCATTTTTGATGGCAGCTCATGTGTTTCTTGCGGCTATGTTGACATGAAACACTGGAGCTGGAGCTGGCGAAGATGTGGCTAATGCCTTTGGCTCTCAGTTCCCCAGGCAGCAAACAGAAAGTGAAACGACACGACGACGGATTTCTTACAATTTCCGTTTCCCACGAGTAAACAAAAGAGACAGCACCGATATTGCTGTTGTTGTAATAATAATAATAATATTTTCAGCAGCAACTGCTACAGACGAACACAATGTTTTACAGCTGCGAAATGCAAGTTTTTTTTTTCTTCTTTTTTTTTTTTTTTTATTGGAGCGAAAGCAAAATGCAGCAGACCAATAAAATTACTCTTAGCGTACCCAAAGGCCCCGTAGAGCAGGCCAACTTCCATATGTCTATTTATTTTTATGGAAGCAAGGTGCAGAATATACTCAGTTTACAACCAGAACTCTTCGCACTCAAAGTCGGATCAAAGGAATTTGTGGTTTATGGTCAAATTTGCGGCTATCAAGAGTTTTAGCTGGAATTGCGCAAAAACTAATAAACTAACAGTGTTAAGTTCCAAAACATACATGTGTATACAATTTTAACATTTGTATGCATAACATAACTGTTAAATGTTTATTACATAGAAATGTTAACTTGAAATATTATATTGCTGCTACTTTACTGAGCAACGGCTATTCAGCTAATACTGTTAAGTTCTAAACAGAACTTACTGAACTGTTAAATGTTAATTACATAGAAATGTTAACTTTAAATATTGTATTGCTGGCACTATACTGAGCATTGGTTATTCAGCTAATACTGTTAAGTTCTAAACAGAACTTACTGAACTGTTAAATGTTAATTACATAGAAATGTTAACTTTAAATATTGTATTGCTGGCACTTTACTGAGAATTGGCTATTCAGCTAATACTGTTAAACAGAACTTAAAGAGCTGTTAAATATTTATTACATAGAAATGTTAACTTGAAATATTATATTGCTGCTACTTTACTGAGCAATGGCTATTCAGCTAATACTGTTAAGTTCTAAACAGAACTTACTGAACTGTTAAATGTTAATTACATAGAAATGTTAACTTTAAATATTGTATTGCTGGCACTTTACTGAGAATTGGCTATTCAGCTAATACTGTTAAACAGAACTTAAAGAGCTGTTAAATATTTATTACATAGAAATGTTAACTTGAAATATTATATTGCTGCTACTTTACTGAGCAATGGCTTTTCAGCTAATACTGTTAAGTTCTAAACAGAACTTACTGAACTGTTATATGTTAATTACATAGAAATGTTAACTTTAAATATTGTATTGCTCAGTAAAGTAGTTAAAACAAAAACCGTTGAAAAATTTGCGAAAGGTGACGCTGCCAATAAACAAAAACAATACTTAAAATAAAAAATTTCAACTTGAAATTTATGACAGCGTTTGCTATCTCATTTTCGGACTAAAATCAGTCAGCGCTGGCAATATCATTAACAGTGAGAGGCAAATATTTCCCATCATTATAGGTAATTAGATGTAAGCGTTATCTAATCGTTATCTATCTCGAGCCCATCTCAGATGTTTTCTGCCTTACACAAATATACGATCTATGGAAATGGCGTAAGCTATTGATGAGGTGGAACTACGATGGGTTCTGGAATCGACACGTTTATATACACGGACCAGATGTTACATACATGTGCACAAAGCGAATATACCCCTTTCTATCCATTTTCAATAGGTACAAAAACTACAGGGGCCGAGTATATGTATGTAAATACCCATCACACGTTCATTTCAGTTGTCAGCTGTGTTAGTGATAACGAACTAGACAAAAACAACATGCAAAACTTATAAGTAGAAAAACAGGGTACCCAAAAAATTAATACAATTCCCGACATTTGAAGAACTTGCGTTCGATATAATATTCTAATCCTACTCACTTTCGATCGAGTGCTCCAACTGGAAAATTCATAGCTTGTAAGTTCAAGATATCTGTAAATGAGTCAATTTTCTATCGATCGTGCTTTGATATAAATATGGGATTCGGTCTGGATTTAATATCTGGATACATGCGTTTTTGCACTCTTTGATAAGCTTGGTTACTCTTTGGTAAAATGATACATTTCCGATTTTATAGTCAACGCACGTCTGTCCACTTCGGGAGTTCGAATCGAACCCTGCTGAATATTTTAATATGCTCCTGTTACGATCCCGTTCTGTTAAACAACAGGCGTTTAACATTGTATCGGCCGCTACATCGACAACCCTATCCGGCAGAGTTGCCAGCCCGTCTTTGAGCTAAACAAAAAGGTCAGTCTCTTGTATGGAGTAAAAAAAAAATAAATAGAGTATAATGAATCAAGGTTGTCAAGTTGTTGATGACGCTGAAGATGCTGATCCAGAATTTCTAAGATCTTCCAACGCGATTAAAATAGGAAGGATGTAAGAATCATGTGTGTCTAGCACATGAGCTGTATCTTATCATTAAAGCAATGATAACCGGGTTTATTAAAACGTCAGTACAGTAAGTAATTATTGAGTAAGAATGTCTTACTTTTTAGATGCCTTGCACAATGTTGCTTAAAAATTGAAAAATAGGAAAAACAATTTTCCAAAGTAGAACTTTTTGTCTTTGCCCTAGCAGAAGATCATAAAAATCGGACAATAAGCACCGAAGCTGCTCAGGAATGCAACTGCCACAGTGTGGGGTGTCTTCGAGTCGGGCACGCCCGATTATAGTAAACTTGTTCAACTTACACAATTAGCGATTTTGTATATTTTACATTCATGACAATTCTAGCGACAAATATGAAGCCAGAAGCGATCTTGCAAAGGTTTCAAGTGGCGCTGGTCCATTAAATTAATCGGTTAACCGATTCAGAAGTTAAACATATCTGATGAAATGTGCTTTATATGTATGTACATATGCATATAAGAGACTACGCCTTAAGGCGTTTACACAATGAAACTTGTTGTGGCTGTTGGCTTGCATCGAGCTCAGTTCAGATTAAAAATCTCGCTTAATATTCCATGCAAATTTTCCAATCAGCAAGCTGCACACATGGCACCAACAAAGCCGGTCTTTGCTTTGGTAGACATCCCCAGCCACACACACACACACATATATATATACAATATATATGCATACTTTTGCAGTTACAAGCCAGCAATGCGAACACCCACCCACACAGTAGCTCAGCTTATGCTCGAGGGCCTCATGATATACAGTGTACATGCACAAATGCTGATAATAGTAAAACAGATTTTATGGATCATTGTACGAGAATTTAATATGTATTTTAAAATGGAACTCTATTCATTAATTGAAAGCGAGAGGGAGCGAGAGAGAGAGAGAGAGAGAGTAATAGGTATAGGAATACAAATTCCATATGAAAATGTTCTCACTTTACGTGACGGAAACCAGAAATGCGTTCAATAAAAATACTCGAAGTTTGAATGAAACCTTTTCATATTTTACCTTCTTAATGCCTTGATCTTTGTAATTCTCTAGCTGATATACTTTTAGAAAGAGATCTTAAGGATTTTATGAGTGTCAGGCGAAAAATAAAAAAAATAAATAAAATAAAAGCTCAATAAAAACTGATAAAACTGATAAAAACTAGCTAATTAAATTGCTGATTTTTGTGAGAACAAACAAAAGGAAATCAATTGTTTGCGCTCATGTATGTCCATAAACATATATAGTAGCTTTGTTCAAGGGAAAAGTAAGCAAATAGAGCGATCATATTTACCAAGTGGTAAGAATTTTCGTGAACTAAGCTTCTAATCCTTTTGAATCCCTGTGACTTATGACCATTGCGATAACCAACCGCTAGGGATGGCTAACAATATGCTGCTGCTGCATTCACACAACAGACGCGTCTGTGTGTGAGGCTTGCAGCCCTGGTATGTTACTATGCACACATACGCACACATACGCACACACGCGTACCGAAAAGTTAAAGAAGAGAAAGAAGAAGAAGAAGAACAACAACAACAACGTCACATCAATTGGCTGCACAACAAATGCAATTGGCTCGCGTGGGGCACATGCGAGGCGTGGTGCAGTGTGGCATGTGGAGCAAGTGACGACAAGCGGGGAGTGCGTTGAGCGATGAAGTTGCTGCTGCTTCTTCTTTGGCACATATTATAGCACTTTGTGTGTGTGTGTTTTTTTTTTATTTTTTCTATTCGCGTGTGCGTGTGCATGCAACTGCCACCGCCACCACCACCACCGCCGTTGCCGTTGCCGCCACCCGCTTGGCCACGCGTTGATGTTCGATTTTTCACCATTCTTGAAAATTGTATGAGCTGCATGTGCATGCCTCAGCCTGTCTGCATTTGTGTGTGTGTGTGTGTGTTTTTGTGTATATCGTAATCAATTTGATTTTGGCCATGCACTGCTGTGTGGACTACCCCCGTTCCCACACCCATACATACACATATACTTACCACATTGAGTCGTTGTTGCACTTCGTGTTGCTGCTGCTGCTGCTTCAATTGTAGGCGGTGTCCCTGCGCTGCATAACAGTTGACATATTTGAGCGATATTTATTAATTTTTAATTTACTTTTAGCACGACCAAGTTTCAATTGGCAGCACTCACACACACACACACACACACACACACGCATACACGCGCGCGCACACCCATACACTGACTCAGACGCATTTGCGTTTATCAAAAAACAACAACAAAAACATTAAAAAAAAATAAATAAAGTAACAACAAAAGATTAAACATATCAGAAGCACAACATTGCTGTTAACTGCTGATGATGCTGCTGCTTCGGCGGCGGCTGCCCTTCGCTTAGGTTATGTACACACACAGTTTGACATTTTAACTAGTTTATGCATATGTGTGTGTTGTGTGAATTTTCTAGCTAGTTTGTGGCTGGGCAATAGCCAATAGCAATTTATGCTGTTTATCACATAAACGCGCGCTTTGTTGTCAATTGCAATTATTATTATTCAATTTACCAGTTGGAGCGAATGCGTGTCTTCAGCTGCCAAATAAAAAAAAACACTAGCACTTTAAAGTAAAAACAATAACAATAAGTCGGCAGAGCAGCGACGACGTCCGCGCGAGAGCAACGACAGCGACGACCAGACGACTGCGGTTTAATGAACAAGAGGTATGCATTGCGCAGGCCCCTTGTCGGCGTTGAAGCGAGAGAGTAAAATTGAGAATCTGTGACGTCACAGCTTTATAGTTTTGAGTGCAAGCGAAGCGCGTAACAAACTAGGTGGTTATATTTGGATAGAAAGAATACATTTTAAGCATTATTTGCCACCAGCATTGCTTAAACAACTTATATATATCACAAGCTACCAAAATCGTGTACAGCTTTGCATACATAGAGTACGTTTTGAGATCAATCAAAGCCAAACATAAATGATCGATTTTACCAAACAAAATCGTAAATTAAATGATTGATTAAAATTGTGACGACATGTGCAGGCAGAATTAAAAGCGACCGTACATCTTTACTTAACTGCGAGCGACGACTTTGTTATCGCAGCAACAAAATGTTATCGAAACTGAACTGCGCACATCACAAACAGCTGATCGTTTACAATGCTGCCAAAACTGTATGTTAGCGCAATGGAGCCGCGAACTTTTTAAATTGTTCATATATATGCACTTATGTCCATAATGAAAAATTGGAGAAACATAAAATTGCAGAATGTTATATACGTGTTTATATTGTTATTTTTAAAGTTAAATCAGGAGTTCAAAGCTGATTCTCGCTTGATTGGCGAATTCAAATGTCGTGTCAGTCGTGTGGCTTCGAACAACAATATACTTATCGATAACAGCTCACATACACTAATCGACTCATCGATAACATTGCACAAATCTCGGGCGTCTAGCGAATTTTCATTAGGCTGCCACGAAGCTTCGCCGCGTTTAGTTTAATACATTTTGTTTGTTTTTAAACTCGTTCTGCGCAGCAAAAATAGCGCAGGTAATGTGCAGAATTGTTGTGCGGTTAATGTGCAAACCCGTGTGTGGAATTGCATGTAGTTTTACCCAGACAACCCAGTAATCAGCATCGAGCAAAAGCCGCACCGGCATTTCTTGGTAGCATCAGAAAGCCGTGACAGAAACCAATACACCGGCCATGACCGTGGATACTAGCAATGGAAGCAACGGAGGAGCGACGAAAGCACGGGGTTTCCTAACCTGGGAAAAACAAGAGCATCTCGTTAAGCTAGCGATACTTATTTTAGCCGCCGTTTTATGTGAGTATTTTGCGTGGGTTGCACACCAATATGTATAAATTCAATTTGCGGGGGCGGGGACATCAGTAAATGTATTAGTAGATGTACATGTATGTGTGTGTGGGCGTGAATTCACAAATATCGATAGAAACTCAATTCGAGCTGGTGAAGAAATTCGTTATCGAAATATCGGAGCGAAGTTTTGTAGATACGATAACAGTTGTGTGCAACCAACTTAATGCCTTCACTTTTCTGCGTGTTGCAGCGTTCGCTACACGTTTGTTTTCTGTGCTGCGCTTTGAAAGTGTGATCCATGAGTTCGATCCATATTTTAATTACCGCACCACGCGGTTCCTGGCCGAGCAGGGCTTTTACAAATTCCACAATTGGTTTGATGATCGCGCCTGGTATCCACTTGGTCGCATCATCGGCGGCACCATCTACCCAGGATTGATGGTTACATCGGCGGCCCTGTACAGGCTAATGTGGATGCTGAACATAACCATCGATATACGTAATGTGTGCGTGTTTCTAGCACCATTCTTTTCCTCACTGACCACGCTCGTCACATATGCATTGACCAAGGAAATACACGTGAGTGACATTTAGGTTAAAAACGAACACGTGCACGTGGGTCTGACATAAAATATTGTTGTCATTTGCAGAGCACTGGCGCCGGCTTGGTGGCTGCAGCGCTGATATCAATCGTGCCGGGATATATATCACGCTCGGTGGCTGGTTCCTATGACAATGAAGGCATCGCCATATTTTGCATGCTCTTTACCTACTATCTATGGATCAAGGCAGTCAAAACGGGCACCATATTCTGGTCGGCAATGTCGGCGCTTGCCTATTTCTACATGGTGTCCTCATGGGGAGGTTATGTCTTTCTCATCAATCTGATACCGCTGCACGTGCTGGCACTGATGTTTACTGGCCGCTTTTCGCATCGTATTTATATAGCATATAGCACATTATATTGCGTTGGCACCATTCTCTCGATGCAGATATCGTTTGTGGGCTTCCAGCCCATCCAGAGCTCCGAGCACATGCTGGTATGTCACAAACATTTTTTGTTTATTATTATTTCTATTGCCAAATGATGATTACTTTTGTAATTCTTGATAGGAAGAGTATGAAACATAATGAGTACTATAAAAAAATACTGATGCAGCATATTTTGTGAACTTTTTATAAATTATTTAAAATGTCTATATTAATGGATCATCTCTTCTCTTTGTTTTACAGGCACTGGGAGTTTTTGGTCTCTGCCAGATACACGCCTTTGTAGACTATCTGCGTTCGCGTATGCCAAAGGATCACTTCGACCTGCTCTTCAAGACGCTGGTGTCGAGTGTAATTAGCCTGGTGTTGATTGTGGGAACGCTGCTGACACTAACTGGCAAGGTATCCCCGTGGACGGGCCGCTTCTACTCGCTGCTGGATCCATCATATGCCAAGAATCACATTCCAATCATTGCCTCTGTGTCGGAGCATCAGCCCACATCTTGGTCATCATTCTACTTTGATCTACAGGTAAGCCGTTTTATCAAAAATTGTCAGGCATCTGATTTGATGATGACGCCAAATACGATGTGAATGACTTGCGCCTTAAAGCAAGCATTGATTACAAGCACTTTGATCGCTGATCCAAGTCGATTTCAAATGTTTGGAATTTCAAAGCATTCGCTAATTTTTGTATGCTTGCCATTTCAGATACTCGTTTTTCTGTTTCCCGCTGGCCTCTACTTCTGTTTCTCGCGCCTGACAGATGCCAACATATTCATCATATTGTATGGCGTCACTAGCATTTATTTTGCTGGCGTTATGGTGCGTCTAATGCTTGTCCTGGCGCCAGTGATGTGTGTTCTTTCCGGCATTGCCATTTCGCATCTGCTGGCCAAGTATATCAAGTGTGTGGACACGGGCACCTCCAAGCCCGCAACGGAGAGCAAACGGCAGCACAAGAAACTGGAACAGCAAAGTGGTGGGGTCAAGAGTGAGGTGGCCATTGGTTTTGTAGCCATCATAACACTGATGCTTATCGTTTATACGCTTCACTGTACCTGGGTCACTTCTGAGGCCTACTCCTCGCCGAGCATTGTGCTCAGCGCCCGCTCCCACGATGGTGGCCGCATCATCTTTGATGACTTTCGCGAGGCCTATTACTGGCTGCAAATGAATACGCCTGAGGTGAGTGGACAAAAGAGAAGGAGAGCTGAATAAATCGTTGTGTCTCCATTTCGCACTGGTGATGAATACAATTTGTAAATTCTTGATAGGAAGAGTATGAAACATAATGAGTACTAACAAAATGTTGCTGACAATGTGCATCTGCATATCAGTTGCTGGATATTAAAACTATTTTCAAATGAATTTAAATTGCTTTCTGTTTTCAGAATGCGCGCATCATGTCCTGGTGGGATTACGGCTATCAAATAACAGCCATGGCCAATCGCACGATACTTGTCGACAACAATACCTGGAACAATACGCATATTTCTCGCGTGGGCCAGGCAATGGCCTCGTCTGAGGAGAAGGCATATGAAATAATGCGTGAACTGGACGTTGACTATGTACTAGTCATTTTTGGTGGTTTGACGGGTTATTCGTCAGACGATATTAACAAGTTCCTGTGGATGGTGCGCATCGGCGGCAGCACCGATCGCGGTGCGCACATCAAAGAGAAGGACTATTATGCGGCAAATGGAGAGTTTCGTGTAGACAAAGAGGGCTCCCCCACACTGCTCAATTGCCTCATGTACAAGATGTGCTATTATCGATTTGGGCAAATGTATACGGAGGGCGGCAAAGCGCAGGGCTATGATCGCGTGCGTGCTGCCGAAATTGGCAACAAGGACTTTGAGCTCGATGTGCTTGAGGAGGCATATACAACCGAGCACTGGCTGGTACGCATCTACAAAGTGAAGGACTTGCCAAATAGAGGCGTCTAAATGTGTCGTGGGCCCTCTCTCTCTCTCTCTATCTCTATTTCTATCTCTGTTTCTATGTCTCTAACATATACGTATGCATGCATTCTTTGATAGAGCTCTATTTTAAAACATTCTGTAATTTGTACATTCATTAAGCTTAGCTTTAATTTTAAGCTCACTGCTCTTTTTTTTTTTTTTTTAATATAAAATCTTACTTGAGTATTATTGTTATTCCCTGTGTCTGTCTCTCTCGCGCTCTCTGCCTGTCATAGTTGAGAGAGATTGTAATTTATAAAGTTTCGTTTGATGAATCAAATACGAAGCAAGAGCATATTCTTAGGGTGTAAGCCAGCAAACTGATCGAAAATATACATATGTGAAAAGAAATCTCATTCAAATTATAAAACATGCATTTTTATTTGTTGTTACGGAAACTAAAAAAGTACGCGATGAAACAAGAGACAGTTGAGATTATTTATTTGTGGCTCATAATTCAACTTTTCCTGCATATACGACAAATGCTGAGAATATGTGAGTTGATAGTTTAGAGAACTTGCTTTTAATTGATGTGCTTATCATCTTGGTGTGCATCGATTTCGCCGCCAAAGACGACATCGGCCACATCATCATCGTTAGATTCGTTGCTGTGCTCATCGGCCAACTCCAGTCGGGCTATGAACTCATCCAGGCCGTCCAAAGATTCATAGACTTCTTGGGGCACTTCATCCAGTGTATTCCAAGCAACAGGCTGTAATTCCGCTGGGCGCGAGTCGGACTCCAGTTGTGTCTGGCCTGCGGGTCGATTCGAGCTGTATAGCTCGCGTAGCGTGGTACGTGTCAGATTTAGCTCCCGGACGCCGAAACCCATGCGCTGATTCGCATCCTCAGCAGCATGACGACGCGCCGCCTTGCGTGCATCGTGCAACTGCTGTTCGGCTGAGGTGCGCAGCACGGCCGAATTGTGCCTGGAT